ATATATATATATATATATATATATATATATATATATATATATACATACACACTGTATATATATATATATACACACACACACACACACACACACGTTAAAAAGATAAAGATAGACGCTAAAGCCTACAGATAACCTGGCGATGGAAACAGAAGACACTGAAAAGAAGGAACAACACTGTTCCTCTTTATTCACTGTTACAGTCCTTATAAGACATTCAGTATACCCTCAGCAGCTAGCGTAGCATAGAAGTGCTAATACTACTTATTGATGTGCTAATGTAGTCTGCTAATGTTAGCTCTACAGGTATCTAGGTAGAAACGTAACGTTTTGAAAAACGTATATCTCCTTTAACCTCTCTGGGTAACAAGTATCACTGTTTCACAACATTTAACATGATGAGCTCCAAATCCAATAAACCAACCTGAAACCACTGATGAGTCTGTGGAGCGGAGCAAGTTAAATGTCAGACCCTGGTCAGAGATGGATGATGCTACCCTGTGATTGGCCAGTCTGTGTTCAAGGGCGGGACTTAGTGAAGGGTTAGTTTGGCTTCACCTCAGTTTTGTGTGGAAACACAAAACTGAGGTGATGCTCCAAAGAGATAAGAAAGAGAATGCATACTGATAGTTGAATTCACTATGCATGTAGATGCATACTGTGTATCACAATTTCTTCAATAAGCTGGCATCGACTGCAGCCGGGAAGCCTACTGACAAATGTTCCATCTTCTGAAAAAGCTAAATGAGATACATTGTTCAACGCTCGCTCACTCACTCATACACATGCAGTCTCTTGTTCCAGAGCAGGCTCCAGGGAACATTGATTTGATTCGGTCAGTCATGCTGTGCTGCAAAACCCAGAGATATTCTACTTTTGGGTTTCATGACTCTACTCTCAAAAACATTCCAGTTTGGTCCCTAGTTGCAATGTATATAAATAGAATTGCAACTGATGATTATTGTCATTAATTAATTATCTGTCAATTATTTTTCAGATTAATCATTTTGTCAATTAATAATGTCAGGAAATTGTGTAAATGACCATTATGATTTACCAAACCTGAGGTGTTTCCTCTGGCCAACACAAAGATAATCCTTTTATAATATGTAATGAAAAGCAGCATCTGCTCTTATTTGAACAGATGGAACGACTGAATGTTTGGTATTTTTACTTGATTAATGACGACAACCTGTGATCAGTTATCAAAATATCTGGTCATTGTTTTGATGATTGACTAATCAGTTAATAAAACTAAACACAGTCAACAATCACTTCCAGCCATTTTATTATTGTTTTCAATATATTTGCGTTTGGATTGGAGTCTGCCTTTCCTACATGGGGGTCAAACAGCCCATGGCATTCACAGCAAATAATGCATTAACAATGAATCGTCCGCTCAACCCACAAATTATTATAATTATTAGTTATTTCTACTTATGTATGGGTTAAACAAAGGAGACACACCATTGTGGTTAATTAGGTAAGAAATGAGTGAATCAATTATCTTTAGAGGTGTTGGTATTGTAGGTATATGTTTTTTTTCTTTGAACAGAGCCTACTTCCGGTTGTATGCTAAGCTAGGCTAACCACATCATGGCTCCAGCTGTGCAGTTAAGCAGGCAGCAATCCCCGGTCCTGTAAAGTAAAGTCAAAGCTTCATGTGTTAAAGCTGCATTCTCTCTGATGTCCACCAGGGGGCGACTCCTCTGGTTGTACAGAAGTCTATGAGAAAATGACTCCACTTCTCTCTTGATTTATTACCTCAGTAAACATTGTAAACATGAGTTTATGGTCTCAATCTCTAGTTTCAAGTCTTCTTCAATACAGCATGATGTTCATTTAGTAAATTATGGTCCATTTAGAGTCAAACAGACCATAAAGCAGGGGATGCTTTAGGGCGGGGCTACACGGTGATTGACAGGTCTCTCTGGCCTCTCCAGTGTATGTCGGCAGCTGTTCAAGAGCACTCTGGACCAAACTTCATGCTATAAAGAAGCTTTATTTCCAGCCCTGCATGGTGACATACTGGTCACTGTTCTCTCACCTTGGATCTTGACCTGGTTGGAGGTGCAGGTAGGGCAGGGCAACAGGGTAAACTCTTCAGCCTGGTGCATGGAGTAGTCGGTACTGGCCACGACTACCCGATCCCTGGTCTTCCAGCCCTCTGATTGGTCGGCCAGCTCCAGGATGCTGCTGTTGGACAACATATCGATGGAAATGGAGGCCTGCGGACGAACTACAGAGGGAGACGGTGAAAGTTAGAGCTCAAAGAATGCATACTGCTATTTTCACACGACCCTTCACAGTCTCACACAGCAACACTAGTCTACATTGGGAAGGTCGAACCCATCCATGCCCACAATGCATGGATGCCTATTTAGGTCCATGGCTCATTTTCCATGCAGCACATTTTTGTGTGGCAGACTAAGCAGTATGGTTTGTATTTGTATATGTCTTAGGCCTTTTTGTATGAAAATAACACACAGACACTGAACACACAAACACGAGAGCAATTAGTCTGCTGTTACACAAGCTTTAGTTTTTCACTTATGAATTGTATATTTTATTCCTTTTAAGTAATTTTGAGTTTGAAAATCCAATATAAATTGCACTCTATTTTACTATGTTGACATTACGACTCTGCAATTGGAATCCATCCATTCTCCGTGATGCTTATCCTGTTGAGGGTCGAGGGGGCTGGAGCCGATCCCAGCTGATTGGGTGAAGGTAGGGTTCAGACTATTGAAGGGCTGACACGTAGAGACAGACAACCATTCTTTTTTTTTTAAATTTAAAAATTTAGTTATTTGTTTTTAACTGTTTAAATTGCGCCGCCCCAGTCTATCTGTCTGACCTGCTGCAGCCCTATACCACCTCGCTCACTAAGATCTCTTTTCGCTGGCCTATCACCTTTGATCTGAACACTTTTGTGTGATTTGTGTCAGTTTTGATTTTAATGTCACTTACTGTTATTAATCCAGTCTTTGTTTGTATGACTGCTTATCTACTGTATGTGCAGCACTTTGGGCAACCTTTGTTGTTTTTTAAAAAGTGCTATACAAATACATTTTGATTGATTGATTGATTCACACATTTCCCCCCAAAGATCCCCTTTCCCCTTAAAAAGACCAAACATGTCTGTGTGGTTGTCTTAGGGTTGATCCCTGTTGAAGAATATCAAGATTCACATTCTATCATAGAGATCTTCATCCACATACTGTTCCCGGATACACACATACACTAAAAGGAAATCATGAATGTACCCAGTTTTCCACAGAGGAAGCGAACCCTGTAGTTGTGGCAGAGGCCGTGAGCTTGGTCCTTGTTGAGGCAGACGAAGCCATAGTCCTTGTCATTCTTGTGGATCACATTGCCGGTCTGGTTGGCTGGTATGCCATCATGGGTTTCAGCCTGTACAAAGGACAAATGACAGACAACAATTAATGGACGGTACTATTTGCAAACACACCAAAATATTATTGCTAAATTTTGCGCCAGACCAATGGTATTGTAGGTGACAGCGTTCCTCAAGATTAAAGGAAAATTCCAAAATGTTGTGTTTATACGAGTGAGAGAGAGAGAGAGAGACAGATAGACAGACAGACGTCTGGCCACTTGGCTTCAGGACAGATGATGTGTTTTTGCACCAGACATTGGTATTTGTCTAGTGTCTGGCTTATATTGTTGTCAAACAGCAGGAATTTCATAAAGAACTCCAGTGATGGGGGTTAGGGCTCAGTCGGTCTACACACGAGAATTTTTTGCAACATTGTGCTCAGTAAAGCTCAGTAATTTCAACACAGTTGGTGCAGCATTCAAATCTGTTACTTATTTCAATCTTCTGACAGGGTTTCAGGATTGAATCCACTTTCTGTGCTTTTCTATGTACAACAGATATAGAATCTGTCATTGAACAGATTATACAATGACATTATGTGGATTATATTTCACTTCTTTACTTGAAGCAAATCTCCAAACCCTATTTGAAGATGTACTGTAAGTAGTCAGATGGCTGCTTGTCTGACTGTTCAGACTGATACAGTGGCAGTGGTAAAGATCTCAGTGTCTGCACTCATTGGGATTGGTTGCACCTCCTCCAGGGATTGTAAAAAGCATTTTCAGATATTTTATAATGTTTCATGAAAAGTGAACAACATACTGTGGAATAAATCTTGGTGGAAAAAAATTACAATTATAGGACAGCATGATGGTCATTCATTAAAATGTGCTCTCTTATCTCTGTATATTGTGAATCTGTGACAGCTGAAGAAAACAACTGTTATGGTGGTTTTGTTGCGTTGTAAATCACAGTGGATATTGGTGTTGTCTTTTGCATAAAGTAGCTGTGTTAAACACGCTGTTGTTTTCCTCTGCTAACCTTGTACTGGAGCCAACAGAGCAGAGCACTGGTATACGTTGTTAGGCTGTACTGTAAGTGTGTACTGCAAATCTAAAGTAAATGTCATTGACATATACTATACATTGGAACATAAACCACGGACATTCACAAATGTCAGATGGCCTACTGACAAAACTCCTGTTTTTGACCTTTCCTTTCAAAGAGCAATAAAGCTAATCTCCTGAACTCCAGTGACAGTGTGTCACTGGAGTGTGTACTTGTAAGAGCCAAATTCAATTTGCTGTAAAATATTTATTTGCATTTACATGTTTAACTTTAATCAGATCTGTTTCTACTTTGAATGTTACAAGGATGTTGTTATGGTAACAAATACATGTAAGTGACAGACAACTGTCACTTTAAGTACACGTAACGACAGTTAGTTAGGCTGTTAGTAGTATCTGGAGCAGAGTGGAGCCGCAGTTTTCCGATTGTGTTCTGTGGATTATGTTGTGGAACAATTTGTAGATTAACCTGTGGATCTTTTGAGTGTGTACTTATAGGAAGAAATGAAGATGTTTCACCAACTTGGACGAGGGAAATGGGATCAATAAAACACTTTCTGCTTTCACCTACGAGCGGTGTCGGTGTGAGCTTTGTGCATAGGACCAGAAACACGTGTCAACTTAAGGTTTACACTCTGCTAAAAGTTTGGACGCTGCAGTACCTTTACCATACAAAGCCAAACTCAGTGGCGGGCCGTGCATTATATACCTGGGCCTGCACTCGTAAAAATGAAGCTCAACACCTACAAATACACTATGAGTGCAGATACATGAATACCGGCATGACGGGATGCGGCGGCATTAACCAACAATGAGTCAAAATCAATTCAGCTAAAACATGCATTCTGCCACACACTCAAGAGCACGGGCCATTCAAATATTATTCATATCAGAGGGAACAATATTACCCATATCATGAAAACGACACGATAGACAAATTAACAGAGTAGTAACTCTCCTATCACTCCTTCCAGGAAATACACGACTCCATAGTTCTTGTTACTGACGGATTTATTTGTCTGTCAACACCGAGAGGGAAAATGAGTCCACTTGAAAAAACATGAATCTTCAAAGTAGATCACTTAAAAACTTAAACTCAACTTTAACACTTTGCACGGAGTATATAGACCGCTGCCGCTTCGCGCGTCGTCTTGTTGCTGTGCACCGGCTAAATGTGTCCCCCGCGCAACATAAGACTTAACAATAGTTCCTATCACATATAAAACCAAACCAAAATCCATATAAATTGTATAAATAATAATATATAATATAAACAAGCATATTAAATGATGACATAGATCATATTTATGGCAGTTAAAGCTACTGCAGTTAAGTTACCAGAGCTGCTGTTCACTATTTAGCTGTTCTTCCTCCTTTCTTTGTTAACAAAGAGTTTAATCTCACGGTTGTTCAGTACATCCGTGTGTTTTTAGTTCCAGTAAGAAGTCCTTCTCGATTCATGGATGCCAGTGAAGACAGTCGACCCTCCCCAGTTGTATTTCTTGAATAGGTTTTAATGCGTTTGAGGCTGAAAATGTCCACTCGACAGAGGCAGCAGATATTGGGATTGTCACCGCCCAACATGTCAGGCTAGCCCACTGACCAATCAAGTATGGCTAAGCCAGCTAGCAGGCTGTGGCATGTCAAAGAATACGCCCAACATGTCAAACTAAAGATCTGATTGGTTGAAGACTATGACAATCAACAATATCTTCTCCATTCACTTAAACTGCAAAGGGATTCACTTGAGAGTCTGCAGGCCTCTGGCCTGTTCTTACCTAGAGACACAGAGGTGAAATCTGATTGGATAAAAGCTCTCCTTAAAACAAGCTACACTGGAAGCAGAGCAATTGAGGAAGACAGTAGCTGTGCAATGAGAAAATAAGATAATGGGAAAAATATTTGTATAAATTATAATACATGTAGTGTATTTAAGAAAAATTATTAAATTATAAAATGGATATAGCTTTGTGATTCTGTTTAGGCCAGCAGAGAAGGCCTTGCAGGCCCTGACGGCCCGCCACTGGCCAAACTACAGGAAGGTACAAACTTTCCGCCTCAGGCACTGAGCCTCTTCATCTTTCCTTGGGATGGTCTGATAATCAAACTAATCAGAACCATAATGAAACATATTACAACAAAAAACACTTAGCTACTAAAAGTAGAGATCCCACAGAGGCAAACAGAAAGATGATGACACACAGAGCTGGCAACCTAGGGAGGACATGGCAGGTACTGAATGTCTATGAAATGCAACAATTGCAGCAACATACTACATAGTAACAAACAAATAGGACACTAAGATTAGTACGTTTCTGCAGATTATTTTATACCAACAATATTATTTATTAAACAGCAAAAACAAGAGAGCATCAAGTACAGATTGTAAGGGAGCAAATTATTATGATGAAGTTATACTGTTGCCGAGCAGCCATGAAAAGGAGCAGCTGGAGCCTAAAGTAGCTATTTTTTATGGTAATGTTTGGGTGTTGGAGGCAGTAGGGCAGACCTGGCACTAATGCTTATCTTCATGGACGGCTAACAGCTGCTGCTCTATGGTGCCAGGCTGGATCCACATCCACTGGCTGCTGCCATGTCATGTCCCAGCAGCACAGTAATGGCAGGTTGGCTCGGCGCTGACTGGACAGACAGACCTACCCCCAACAAAACTGGACTCAGGAGCAGCTGGAGCTCCTCTTTAGTACACTGCTTATCCAACATTTGAGTTGCTGTGTGTAGATGTGAGTTTAAAGATACAATGCTTCAGGTTGTTGTGAAAAATATATATATATATACTATATATATTATTTATGGATGTTACTCCTTCTGCAATACAGAGTCTGCCGTTCCCGTGTTGCATTCAAATTGCCTTTACAATGTAGAATTCAATGTATACTACGTAGTACACAATGAAGGTATTCAGAGGAAATGATGCAGCATGTAATTCAGGGGAATTTGATCTCATCAATAACAGCCTCACTGTTTACTGTTCACTCTCTTCCCACCATGTCAGCGCTGTGCTAAGGCACTATTACTAATGCCATTAGAACATCATTTTGCTGCTGACTCACGTTAAAAGCATTTAACTGGCAAAACACACGGGTTGGCTTTGTTTGTGAATAAACCACAGGAGATGCAATGTATTTGTCATAGACGTTCTTTTTAAAAAATATAAATACGTCTATCGTCCCTTCCCACCGGCCCTATGTGGCGTTTTTTGGTCGTTATGCAGTGTCATCACCATCCTGGAGCATATTAGCATGATTAGAATGGGATCATATTGGAGGTAGTTGAAAGCCCGGTACGTCTCATACAGACCATGCCTTGTGCGTCGTTTCAGACGCGGAGGGGTATGACAAAGCGACGGTATTTGACGACCTGGGAATCAGACCTGGTTGTGTGAACAATGCTGGGACGTAAGACTACAGACAGCTGATGTTGCATTTTAAGACATCAGAACGCCACAGGCATGTGACTGGAAAATATTACTTTGGCACAATATCAAAGGTTCTGCTGATATCCATCGATAGGTTCTCATGTTGCTTCAGAAGAATATGTTGATCACCTGGTTGCCAGCATCAGCAGCTCTCATTTCTGTGGCTTAGTGCATTTGCTTTCAGTTAGATGTGTGTGGGAATATGCACGCATGCATGCATGTGTGTTTGATGATGTAAAAAGAGACTTACCTGGATGTTGAGTGGACTGCTACACAGTCTGTCTGGGTAGGCCTCGTGCAGGTCAGACACTTTCTCCCAGTCTCCAGATCCTCTCTCATCGTCCCTGTCAAACCATTCTGTCCACTCTGCCTCTGTGAGAAACACACGTTGGTCCGACAGCCAAGCGGTAGATATCAGACTCATTCACGGCAAGGCTTGGACCTGTGATCCATTTTAGCTGTCAAAAAGCATTTGTAGCAAAGCAATTGAAGGTCTCCTCCCATTGTGTTCTCTCTCTGGCTGACACAGTGGGGGATGTGCATTTGACTGTGGACTTGAATTTAATTCTGAAGCTCCACACACACACACACACACACACACACACACACACACACACACACAC